TGCATTTTATTTGAGATGTTTTTGTAGATAGTACGGAGGATGTTTATTTAGCAATGCAGAATAATAATATTTATTTATAAAAACTTGTATTTAAACTGAATGCTTTTCTAATTTGCGAAACCAAATAGCCGCCATTTTGCGGTAGGAGGAGCGCATCCTGTGAGCGGGTAATAGCAAGCCACTACAACAATTTCAATGATAATGACAAGATATGACATGCAATTTTGTCTTACGACAAATATTGTAGTGTTATTGAAAAGTTGCCGATAATATAAATTTTCTTTAAGATTTGCTTAATCAACAATAAAATTATTTTAGAAAAGTTTCCCTTTTCAAACACACTCGGTTAGCACCTCTAGAGCACTCCTAGAGTAATATAGGTATTTTTTTTATGTCATTCATTGTATAGTTTTATTCGCTCTTTAGGTGACAGCATTAGAAGGCCAAAAGCAATAATTAATGTTTAAAAAGTAAAACTCTACGAATAAAATACAAATTTAAATAATTCAGTTTCATCACGTAAACTGAACTGTATAGAAAAAGGCTGGTTCCTTATAAACTCATAGAGTAGGCCCATTGGGTCGCAGTATCGTTACCTGAGGTACTTTATTTGGTAAAGTGTAATTGGCGGGTTTTACACAGACACTCCATAGCGCGTGATACAGCAAACATGCGCGATTGCGCTCCCAGTCGCGTGCGCAATTGCTCACTCCAACACGCGCCAGTTTCACGCGGTCTATTTTGCGCTATTAGCCTTTACATGGACGCTCTTTCCGTTGTAACACAAACGAACACGAGCAACCGCGCGCGAAAGAACGTTAGCTAAAAAAAATTCAAACAGGTAATCGCGCACTATTGCGCGCGCAGGCTTTCCCGCGCGCAATCCTGTACGCTCCTCATCACGCGCTACAAACTGACTGTGTAAAGGAAGCTATTGATGTATTCGGTTGCCCAACGGAGAAAGGACGAGAGGCGCTGGACAAGGCGAGTACTTGAATGGAACCAGAGGGGACATGGGTGCGGCAGAGTGGAGGAAGAGAGAAGAGGTCTCCAATACTGGATCACAAAAAGCCGCTATAACGATAATGAGGCAGTTTAAATAATTTTATCCTATGATCAATGGTTCATTTTATTGTGTAACCTAATTAATTCTTCATTAAACCGCGTCATGCTCTAACTTGAAACCAACATCTCTCGGATAAAATCTTGGCTTTTGTCCCTGTACGAAATAAATAGGTTAAATAAATAATAAATTAGAGCTAGGGCGTTTATAACGTTTATGCTGATAAATTATAAAGCCTCTGTATCCTATGAAATGAAATGAAAATGAAAATGGTTTATATGCAAGCAAACACCGGTATTGGTGATGGTAAAAGTGCATAATATAAATATATGTGCATAAATCTTGGTCTCATAAGTGCAAGCGTGTTGCGCCATTTCTGACATGCAAATTTTTACAATATTATATCATAGCAGTCGTTCTAATGAACACAATATTATTTTATCTATCTTTATTATTTACTATTTTTTGTCAATTTTTGTCATTATTTATGTCAATTATGATGTAAAGTTTAATTTACAATGTTTAATGTGTTCTGACCATAATAATTTAAATAAATTTATAAATGAGGAATTCATCTAAACTGTAAAAACAATTGTCTAATAGTATTTTATACATATAATTTTTAAATTCCCTTTGGGGAATTTGTTTTACTTATCCAGGTTTAAATTTAAAAAAAGAAATTTCTCATGAAACATGTAGTTTACTAGAAGCGCCAGTCAAGCGATTTGGAATACTGGATAAATATGAGTACTGTTTTTATTCGAACATGGTTAGATTTCTCTTGACAAACATACAGACCTCAAGAATGTACATGGAGGGTAGCGTGAGTAACCTGAGCTGCTTGCATAAAGGTCTACATCCTTCGAAGGGTCCGACTTGGTAAATCGCTCTCACATATTTCTTCTGTAGTACAAAGGCTTTCTCAGTGTCAACACAATTCCCCCACAATAGAAGCCCATAACTCAAATCAGAAGACACGTTGCCATGATAAGCCATTAGCGCGGTATTTTTATCACATTGTTACATTATAATCTACTAAACAATTTAGTTCACAAGGTAAGTGAAAAAGATGTAATAAGGTATAAGAGATATTCCATTGGTAATATGATGTGAACAACGAACGTTGTACGATAATTTGTAATTATATTATTATAAGGAAAAAAGAAATTGTAAGCAGGAAAATATTACAATATAATGATTAGATTGTATTTTTTGTTGTATTTTTTGTCACTAGATAGAAATTGTATTCCTTAACATATCTGGAATCAGAGAAAGCGTTTGACCACCATGATATTCAATTATTTTTGTAAAATTACTCCACTAGTTTGTTATAATTATTAATACATATCGAACAAGAATTCCTTCGATCCGGCTGAATGCGAACCAACGTCTTCCAGACGAAATACATTTCTCATAGATGGCACTACGGCAAAAAGTCGTTAAAATCAAAACGATTTGCAACAAGCACATAGACTAATTCGTAAGGTCCGTTAGTTTGTCTGGCACAGTTTATTGGTTCGAATCCAGCCGGATAGAAAGATTTTTTCTAAGTGTTCAATCTTTGTAATAATAATTATAACCCCTATAAGCTGTTTTTTAAATATCTTATTTAGTTTCTGTTTTATTGTTAAGCAAAATCAGCGTAATCGACATTTTTCAAAGAAAAAAATACTAGGTTACCAAAGTCCAAGTGCATTAGTTATGACAAGGAGGACATTACTAATATCTTTAAATTAGTAAAAATCGTCAGTAACCTGGGAAAATAGGCGAGAGATGAAAATCGATCGTTGCATCTAGCACTCCTGGAAAAGCTACTGATCCTTCAAGGACAGCACATGAAATGTGATATTCGTATGTCGAATCGTTACACACGCTGACCTCTTTCACCGTCACCCCACCTTTTCGTAATCTTTTCTGGTTCCTGGCCTCTTATTTTTTGAAATTTTGGGTTTTTCTCGAATTCCTTTTTCCTTCACTATTCTTTCGTTTGTTCTATCTGACGTCAATTCCATCAAAATTCTTGACACAAGAAGACGTGCACATAAATCACCTTCATTTCCTTATTGTTAAGCTTCATATCGATTACTATTAAAATTATACAGTTATATTATATACCCTCTTAGGGTGAGTATTGTGCATTATACTAGTTATATAGGCAGTGTTTTATAATAATTGTACCTTTTTTATATCATTTTATTATTTTGTTACATCATTTCCTTTTCCTCTTTTATAATCTCTTACAATAAATATTCTGCATTTTCATTTCGCTAAGACTAGGCTACTCTTCAGCTTGGCATGAAATATAAATATAATAGTAAAACCTATAATATTGATTTAGCATAACTTAAATATAATTAGAAACTAATTTAAATGTATAATATTCTAAACCAATGATTCTCATAATTTATAGTAGTTTACATAAGAATATTTACACGCCATTATTGGTATATTTTTTGTCATACTTACTGTTTTGGTTTACTGAACACCAAAATGTTACACCAAAAAATGACACAAGCAAACAAATTTCATTTCAAAATAGCATTATGAATATTGTAATCCTGCTTTTGGTAAATAAAGATTTTACTATCATTAATTATTATGTACGCCCTACCCATTCTAAACTAATAAGCAGATATGTTCGCTGACCCACTTCTTAAAATCCAAACTCAACATCTGAGCATTCTGGGCTTTAAACACATTGACCGAGTGCGCAATACAATGCTGCGTTCGATGGCATTGCCGTTGTAGGGAGCTAAACACCCAAACGCAAATGGAATTGGACGGACCTCGTTGCCAGGATGCAACTCAAGAAGTGGGCGATTGGATCATTCCTTGGGTGTGTAAGGACAGATGGCGACTTTGGGGCCGGCCGAGAAAGCGTTGATGGGATGACTTCGATGAGTTTGAAAAGGAGTGGTGGAAAAACGCCAAAGACGGATAGCAGTGGAAAATTTTTTGAAGACCAATGGGATACAGTAAATATCGAGTACTTGGGTTTTCGAGATTGTTACTTAGTGAAAATAAAACTATTGTCTCATCTAAATCACGTATATTTGTTTTTTAAACAAACCTACGTTCAATGTCAGTGTGACGTGACCATGGGAGTTGTAAAAAGCCTTGATCGCTCTCACTATATGTCTCAGCAATATGTCCTCAGGCGAGACAGACGCTGATTTTCAGTCGTTCCTGTTTCAGCGTCGGCTGAGACCTAAGGAAATGGTACATGCTCTGTGTATCCTCTTCTTTATGCCACACTACACATTTACAATACACGTGTGCTACATGTATACTATATTATATAAAAGCTATAAGTAAATATACATAAATAAGTTAGAAGACAAGAGTTAGGAACATCCGGCATTAGAAAATGTTTAATATAAATCTTTATATTCTCTATTTCTTAAATATTTTTAAGAGCTTTTCAGAAGTCTGTTGAAAAGATAAAATAGTCATCTAAACTCGGAAACAAATATACTATATACTTATTACTTAGAATTTCTTGAAAGAGGAATTCATTTTGCGTACTGATTTATGTTCCATCTGTAGCGATATGATAAACAAACTATTCTTTAAACAGAACGCTCCTTGGTAGATTCAAGAACGAACGAATCTTTGTCACAAAAATCTGTGCAATCTAGGACACAAAATTACAAAAAAATATATATAATTCAACATATTTGTGTGTAACCTAAAACCGTGCCGTACTTTGTATTTACTCTACTACCCATTTGGCCCTCGTAAAATCTTTAGAGGCTAACAGTATGACAAATAATGAGTTAAAGATGCTTTTTCAGTTCTAAGTTCTTTCTAGATCCAGCACAATCACAAAAACAGTAGACTGAGTATCTATATACTCGAGCCAAGACACAAAAGATATTTCCATGGTAAAGTAAAAATACTCGGGCAGTGGTAAACATAAAAAAAATATAAAACAAACCTGTGATGTTGAAACTGCCAATCAACAGAGTCCAAAGAGAGAGCATCCGAGTGGGGCTAGCCCGCGGCACCTCCATCCCTTCCTAGATCGGCCAAATATCCACCAACACTTCACAAATACCTCAAGATTACATTTTCACCGAAATTCTCCGTAACCTCCCCTCAACCTGAAACAACAGAAAGTCAAATTGAAATTTTGTTTAAAATTCAGATCAATTACATCAGGCACCGCGCTCCTTTGATAATTTAGTGTTGCGGCTACAGAGTTTTTGGGCAATTTGTTCGTAATAAATAAATTTTATATTATAACATTTTTTAAGTTATGAACAAAGCTTCTGGTTTCATATAATATTTTCACTTTTCTGTACATTGCTAAGCGTGACCCAAACCAGTCATCATCATCATCCATCTATTTATACATCCTACCGTTTGACATGGGTCTCCCTCAGGGGGGCACAATGCTGGTTGGGGAATTCACACGTCTTCCGAGGATTGTGATCCTTTTTCAACGTGCAGGTTTCATTACGATGTTTTGTTTCGCCGAAAAGCTTATGATCAATTTCAAATTGAATTTCGCACGAATCCACGCACACGGCCTTTGCCTGAGAAGTGGTAGGTCGAATCATTAGGTTACCATAATCAAGCCACAATTTGTACACAAAAGAAGCATTTTTCTCTTCATTCAATAAGTGCGTCTAATTATAGTCTAATCCTTGAGGTAATCGTTTCTGTATTACTATCACTGCAGTAATAACATTGATATTTATACATTCGTGGTTTTACACTTAATTATTTTCATTAGCAATATTTATTTTATGAATATCGTAACGTGTTACTAGCATGATATGCATTTATTTGGGTCATACACAAAAAAGGAAGAAAAAGTGTTCCGGCTTCTTCAAATGAATTTAAATATATAGATTCAATTGTCTAGATTATATTATTTGACCATGAAAACTAATACTTTTTGAAAACCATTTGCATAGTGATATCATTAGGTTTCTTTCAACTATATGAAACATAAAATATCGAGATATTTATTTGAAGTACGAGTCCTGTAGACTGTTCGGATGCCGAATGTAAAATTTTGAAAGATAGTTAAAAACACATAAATTTGCATAAATGTTCAACTTTGAACATCATGTATTTAACAACAAAACGCAAGATCGCAAGCCTCTAAAAAGGAAATTTCGGATTTACTCAGGTGACAATGATGAACGTGTACTTTTGTTTATTACATTTAATTTGTAATCTGATGATGTAGATATTTTTTGAGATGATTTGTATGACCACAGAAGCATAAATCTTTTCTGTGGACATAAGGTGATTATTTGTTTGTTCCTTTTTGATAAACGATGTTTAATTATACTTATTGTGTGGTTAATAAGATTCATTTAGAAGTGTATTTGTTATGTTTATAAAAAATATTTTTTTTTCCAGTTTGTACTTTTCTGTAGAGAACTTGATCTCATCCGTAGACATAAAAAAAATGTTATTTATTATAATTACTTACTTTGTCTAAATAAAAAAAACTAAGCGCGAACAGTGACATTTTAATTTTTTCTAATGTTCAGTTTTTGTGTTTGACCCATTTATAGTGAAAATACTCCACTAGTTTGTTACTGGGCAATTTCTCGTGGAATTCCGAAATCCGTGCTTTCGATATTTATGACAATTATAAGGAAGAATTTGTATTTAAATTTTGTAAATTTCATAGTACTTATGTAAATAGTTTTTGATGATATAGTGGTCCGCAAAATAAATGACTTTTAAAAAAGAAGAGGGTAGTCAGAACATTTGAGGGTGAAGGAACGATTGTGAAGGAATTACGAAATCTAAATAAACCAAGAAAAAATAGCGATATAAACTTACTTCTAGGCTTAACATTTTGTGTAAGCTTACTGCTACCAATAATTCATCTGGGTGTATAATTAATAACTTTTAAATGCATTTACCAAAGATTTTAAAATGCGTTCACAAATCGAGTAAAGGTAAGGGAATGATTTTTGTAGTTGGAAAACAAATTTTATTTGATCTAATGTTTAAAATTTAAAGGTTGTTGTTTTAAATGTGTTAATTTAAATACAGAACGTGTTTGATTATGGCTCTTGGGACATAGTGAGGAATGAGATTTTTATGAGTATGTGCGTTATTAATGTTATTGGAAAATTTTTATATTATAATTATTTTTATTTCATTAGAATAATCAATATTTTATGAAGGCATTAGTAGCAATTGAATTACAGTTTGCTATTAAATATACGCCATAATATACTTTACGGCAAGAATCAAATACTTTTTTTTATAAACCCAAAGGATAAGGATTCCGAGATTTTGTAAGAATTACCCTATTATTTATTATTGATATAAAGACATACAAAGAAAAAATCCTTCAATCTGACTTGACTCGAACTAGCGTCTGTTACCTTACCGTGGCCATTACTCTTACCAACTGAGATACAGACCCAGTCAGCAGATCTTACGAATATCTTTATATGCTGGTTGCTGATCTTTTTATTGGTTTGGAACAGACTTTTTTTACGTCAGCACCACATGTAAGTAACTTATTAACAATCAGGTTTCAGGTATCTTACTACCGTAGACCATGTAATCGTTCCGAAAGATTGAGATACAATAAAAAGAAGTCAGACTGCGGTAAAGAACCTGTAACTAGTTGTAATAATATTTTAGTTATAACATTAACTCTACAAGTGTTACATTGCGTGACTAAGCATAGTATATCAAATAATTTAAAAAATGGTTCAAGGCCATACACGATACATGGTGCTGTTACCAGTTAGTAACACAACCTGTAATAATGACCACAGTCAAGGATTTACATTTACACAGTTATTTGTAAAATACTAAGAACCTCGCAGGACAAATTACTAAAATATTAGACCACCATTTGTTTTCCATTACTTTTTACAAAACATTAAGAATTTACCAAAACTATACTTTTAAGCTTTTGTTGTACTGTCTCATAGTTTTTAGATCTATATTTGGTAGTAAGGTAGCAAGTTCATAAGTGCAAGCGTCTACCCCCACACTCGTTTCCACGTTTTGCATCGGGCTGGGTATTTTATTCCTTTTGTTCATTATCATCATCATATATGATCAGCCGGAAGACGTCCACTGCTGAACATAGGCCTCTCCCAAAAATTTCCAGACTAGCTGATAGGACCGACGTGCATTCATCGGTTACCCGCCGCCCTTACCAGGTCGGTAAGAATTCATTCGAGAATCTTTCTGCCTCAACGGCCGTCAGTTCTATCTAATCCTTTGAGCTATGACGGTGACTTTCGTTCTTCTATAGATGTCCTCATTTCTGATTCTGTAGAGAAATACCGAGCATTGCTCTCTCCATAGCTCGTTGAGTGAATTTGAGCTTTTTTATGAGGCCCATAGTAAGTCACCACGTCTCAGAGCCGTAGGTCATCGCTGGCACTGCTCGAAGACTTTTGTCTTCAAGGACTGTGATCTTGCGGACGAGAAGACGGCCCGGAGCTTCCCGAAAGCTGCCCAACCGAGTCAGAATCGAGGATTGACCTCTGTCTCGAAATTGGCTCAGTCTAATTAGACGGTTTGTCCGAGGTAGACATATTCGTCAACAACTTTTTCTTTTGTTACCAGACAGTTATCGCGCGTTTAGAGAGTTTTAATTAAATAAGTACATGTTTAAGTGTAAGTAAAAACTGACGTATTATTAAAAGTCATGAGACAAAAGTTGTTGTATATATATGATGTAAGTAATATAGTCCTGCGAGGGTGTTGGTATTTTAAAATTAACCCTATATAAACTTTGTAATGTGTTTCTATTTAATTGATGACCTCGATAGCCCAACGGTTTACAAGGCTGAAATTTGTAAAATGAACTTCTAAATTGGTTCTGGTATGAATGTTTTGTATAGTAGCAGTACCTTCTGTTGCTCTGGTACTCGTAATACAGAGACTTCTGAATACCTTATTATACCAAGTGACGGAACGAATAAGTCATAAACCTGCTGATAAGCGACACACCTGTCCATAGCACTGCTACTGCACTTGTCACTCTGAGAAAATAGTTGACAAGTCTCATGTGCCTGTAATTTCACCAGCACCGTTATCGTTCCAAATTGGAACGAAGTAATGTTCACGTAAATGCTTCGCGACAGAAATGGGTACTTAAGGTAAGGCCGTACTTCCGTGGACGAATTCTTTCACAAGGAGACCTAGTGCTACTAAAATCCCTTGTTTGAGACCATGTAATTCGTATAGTTGACTGGCACATTTTTATTGTTATCAAACTTGTTTTTTTTGAAATTCAAAATCGTAATATTACTCTTCCCTGAAGAACACCACAATAATCTGAGCATTTGATTTAACGAATGTTATGTCTCCTTAAAATACTAATGATCTTTTTAATGGTCGTTTAAATATTATAAATGCGTCATTGTTGAAATATTATTACTAAAATAGGATTAGTTAACCTTCCTTCTAATATTAAGTCACTCTATAAATCGAATACTCATCACCAAGTCAAGTCAAGACCTTCCACTTCGTGGAACATTAAATTCTACTAAATATTCAAGCCTTAACCCAAAGAAGATTACCGGTCACTCTCCAAATCGGCCGAGCTGAATACACAGTTTGCAAATTTGAAAAAAGGGACAATAATTTTGTATTAACAAGAACATCAGGACACTGCATAAATAGTTAACTAGATCTGTATTTGTATAATTTAAAACAAAAGCCGTTGTAGCCTAATTAAACGATCGTCAAGGGCACATTACGTAGTCGTCTATTTTGAACCAATCAACACACATGTTATTTAATTCCTAACTCAGTTTAACGAACTTTTTGTATGAACTCAAAAAGGACGTTCACTTTTGAATTGTACTTCTGTAACAAACCACCACTGTTTAGCGATTAATGGTACTACTCCTGTAAACCAGGTACCTATTGCCAATATATTACAGTCAACTTACATCGGCTTTTAATTTTACGAGGTCGTCGAGATCCTCGTCGTCTTCTTTTTGAGTCTGGCGGCTACAGTGCGAAATTTAATTTAACATGAGCTTGTCTATGAAAGAAAATA